GAATAGAGAAAGGTTTTGACATGTATAAGCACGTGGGATGGGCTCAAAGCTTCGATCTGATTCGAAACTTCCTTCCATTTCATTGTCCACTGATTTAACACAGAGGACTATTTCTTGTAAATACATGTAGGCAGACATGACGTTTCTCCATCATCCATCACAGCCATGGAACAAACAATCGGAATGTACAAGAAGGCTGTCCGTAGCAAGGACTTTTTTCTTCCAAATCTCAATCCGTTATGATTAATTACTTTCTATTTAAAAAGGCCTCAATGTTTTATTTCGGAATCTCATGTGTTTATGACAGTGATCTAAGTTATGACACTGTGTAATCTATTACGTGGGTAACAACCTTTCGCAAGAATATGATGTTTCCTTCTTCAGGATAAGTTTGAGACCGTATGTTCCGTCAAAACTTTAGTACTCATCCACAAATTAAGGTTGTATCACAACTCAGTAAACACCTCTGTGGTCTAGTGGTCAGAGTTCCTGCCTACAGACCCAGAGGTCCAGGTTCGATTCCCTGCGCTACTAGATTTTCTGAGAAGTAGTGGTTCTGGAACGTGGACCACTCAACCTCGTGAGGATAAATGAGGAGCTATTTCAAGGAAATGGCGGCTCCGGTCTAGAAAGCCGAGATTAACGACCATGGAGATCCGTTGCACTGACCACGTGATCTCTATCCGCAAAGTTGGCACTAACTTCGCCGACAAGCGGCGGTCGATCGGTCGGTATACTTCCCTTGTGGACTAAAACCACGGAATTTTGTTTGTTCACATCTCAGAAGATCAAAATATGTACCTTCATTATCGCCGTTAAAAACTGAATTCCTTTATGGTTTCGTACTATTGTCTTTTGTGACTTTTGGAGCCTTTGTGCCGTCTATGTGCAACGTCGTTCACTATTCCTTCTTCGTATTCCCTTATTGGACACATGTTTCGGCTTAACATGCCATCTTCAGGTGTAGAAGTTGTTATGGTCAAGGATTCTGCTGTTCACTGTTGTGTGGTTTTCTTTCCTCTTATTGTAGTTGCCTCTGGTTATTTTGGTTATGTGGGTTACCATTAGTTTTATTGGGGTGTCCTTGGCTTGCTTTTTTGTTTTCCTTTTTGGTTTGCTGCTTTGAATATTCTTGCCTGGGCGGGAATACTGTTGTGTGTTGTTCATCCATCATAGTTATTCGTTGTTGCTCATTTGAAAAAATATTCGGCTTGTAAACAGTAAAATTGCTTCCAACTTACCATTTGTCTCTCAGCCTACCATCTGAAGCTATACTATAGTCTAGTTATTGTACTGAGTCTTCGAGTCCCGGTGAGGCAAGAAGTTTCACTTCCCCACGTCGACCAGACCGGCTCTTGGGTCTGCCCAACCTCTTATACAATGGGTACCGGGGGCTCTTTCCTCGGTGGTAAAGCTACCGGGGCGTGAAACTGACTATTCACCTCCAACTAATGCCGAGGTCAAGAAAATGTGGATCTATACATCCACTACCCATACGCCTTCATGGAGTAATTCTTAATTAGTTAAGCACAGGGACAACTTTATTGTACTAAGTCGTTAAGTACCCTACAAGAAATTACTTACGTATCGAAGTATTGTGCTGCCTCCGTCTTCAGGGTGATAAAGTAATGAAGAAAGAAAGCTGTTCCTTCTATAATCATTACTGCATTGATTTAATGATGCACACATTTCATTCTGATAGTTAATAAATAGTGTCACTTGCAGACTCTGGTATCTGTTCCACTGAGTGTAGAAAATTTAACCCCTGAGCTTTCTCGATCACTGTCTGCTAAATGACGTTAAAATATTCTCAGAAATTTTAACCACTTATATTAAACTTCACGTTTTATTTCGAGAAATTGCATACCGTTCAATGCACGTCTCTCAACGTTCGCTTCACTTGATTACTCCCAGGATCAGCAGCTTTTAAACTGTCTCTAAAGTTTATAAAAGAATCAATCAATCCTTGTAGACACGAGGCAGGATTTAAGGCGAAATAAATCCATATCTTAACATGTATACGTACCGTGCATGACAAAACTGTATGCGGGATGTTTAAAGATTGGGAACAACTAAGAAGGCAGTGAGATAGTGCCGCGGGACTCGGAACCATGGGAAACTGTTGGCAAGGGACAAGAGTAATTTACTCGACCGAATGACCGAAAGGTCCAGCCTTATTAGGTGAGAGGATAATATTAAAACGGGTTTGAAAAGACACAAAATAAGATAAAATATGACTCAGTCGGCATCCATTTTCTGGATTCTGTGACTACAGTAATTACTGTAGTTGTAGCAGTTTATATACCGGCAGTGATAGGCATGGCACGTAGTATGAATGGCAGAGAAAAGAAATGAGTACAAGGTTTTGATGAGAAAATAAGTAGGAAAGAGACCATTAGGAAACTCTAGACTTAGGTTGGAGGATAATATTAAAATTGATTATACAGATAGGATGGAGCTGTGTGGACTGGATTCATCTGGCTCAGAATAGGGACCAGTGGCAGGCTCTTGTGAACACGGCAATGAATTTTCGAGTTCCGTAATATTTTGGGAATTTCTCGGGTGGTTGAAGAGCATCTTCTTCATAAGATGTACCAAGCCCCATATATTTAGTTTGTCGGTATTTCCGAGTACATACAGTCGAATAGCAAGACGAGAGTGAATAATGTATTGGAAAGAAGGCAGAGGGAAGTGGTCGTGGCCTAATTAAAGTTAATTTCCAGGAATTTGCCTCGATGGGTGGGATAAAATCACAAGAGATCCTCGCGCACCTCCTAATTCTGTAAGATTAATTTAAATTTTTTCGTCCTAACTATGCCCGGATCACTGGAACAATTATTTCTTTGATATCACCCGAAAGAAACTTTATAAGATTGTCACGTGTATGGATCCATTTCTTGCAAGACTTTCATAGGAATTAGGTCTTATTTAAAAAATATAGTGGTAAATATTGCTGGTGAGATATAACAATGATATTTCTGTTAACTTTATCACGGTGTACGGAGGCTTAGGAAGTCAGATTTCTCTCAAAAAAAAAAAAAAAAAATAGTTTCTAACGTACGTGTATATTTAAAAGCGTAAACCAGAATATGCTATTTTTTCTTTTTTTTTCTAATTTTCATTCCATGCATCCTGTTGTGTTATAGTATATAATTTCTTTATTAAAACCGTCACAACACAACTATATTAAGGTCAGTGCCAAGTTTTGCTCTGCTACATGTTTCGGCTACCAAAAGCCATCATCAGGCAAATACATGGCCAACATATATACACCACTGAACTGCAGTACTAGTAAAATTGGATACAATACTATAAATGTCAACATTCCCTACAGAACGGACAATTAAGGGCTACTATAAATCATTCATTCGTTTTTAAAACGTTATATTTTCCAAAGTAATATACATACAAATATGGTTGATATATAAAAAGAACCGTAAACTCACCAAGGTTTCTTCATATTCTACAAATGTTCTATGTGTTCCCCTTGGGTCACACGACACACGTCCAGGCGGTAGTCGAGCTCGTTCCACACATTTTGTAGCATCATCCTGTCAATGGTCATCACTGCAGCTTCGATGCGTTCCCTCAGCTCTACTATTGTTCTTGGCAGTGGGGGTACGTAAACACGATCCTTAATGTGCCCCCGAAGGTAGAAGTCACAAGGCGTTAGATCAGGTGATCTGGGGGGCCAAGTGAACAGAGCTACGTTATCCTCACCAACACGCCCAATCCAGCGATGCCGAAATTCATTGTTTAGGTAGCAACGAACATTGCCGATACCACCGCAAAATGCTTTGTTTACATGGCGGTTCTTTTCCCTACTCTCTTTTGAATGCGCGTTGCACTGCTATAACAGACGAACATCTCGCATATTCCAACAAACAAAAATTCTTTTCTTGCTTTGTCGCCATTTTGTAAAGGCACAGAATTTGTGCTGCCAACTGGTGCACATAATACAAACTTAGTGAGTTTATGGTTCTTTTTATATATCAATCATATTAGTATGTGTAATATTTTGGAAAATATAGCGTTTTAAAAATGAATGAATGATTTATAGTAGCTTGTACTTTGTAAGATGAGGCACCGACTAAATAATTAACATTAATACTATTACATCTACATCACCAGCCTCCAAAACAGTTTGTTATATATATAAAAAATATAGAATACTCCAATTTGCCCGTGGAAATACAGCAAAATCGCAAAAACCAACAACTGATTACAATATTATATTTAAGCATCCTCTTACACCCTACACAATGTATGACACAAACTCCGTCCTGAGTGCAACAATTTATTGTAGTTCTTTTGTCTTCTTTTCTTCTACACTACATGTTTCGGCCGTAACTGGCCATCATCAGGTGTATTTCTCTCACGTAGCTTTCTTAAGAAAGCTGGTGTTTTTAAATTTTAAACTGCGTGCAGTGTAGCAGCTATGTGAGAGTATACACCTGATGATGGCCAGTTACGGGCGAAACATGTAGTCTAGAAGAAAATAAGACAAAAGAACTACAACAACTGACTCGATGATGTAAAGCATCATTTGAAGAATATTAATCTTGTTTTATACTATAATTTTCGTTTTATATAGTTTAATTTATTGTACTTTTAAGCCAAGTATTTTAACATAGTTAATATTATTGTATCCAGTTTTACTAGTTCTGCAGTTCAGTGGTCTACATATGTTAGCCATGTATTTGCCTGATGATGGCTTTTGGTAGCCGAAACATGTAGCAGAGCCAAACTTGGTTCTGACCTTAATATTGTTGTGTTGTGACGGTTTTAATAAAGAAATTGTACAGAATATACTAGGCCGGTGCTGAGTGCTGCCGTATTGCAAGTCCTCTTCTCTTATGTACTCGTATTCGAGACAAGTTAACGCTGGCGCAGTCTCTCAGCATCGCAACTTCATAGCTCCATCTCTTTCATCAAAGTGAACCGTTACTCACCTGCAGTCTTTTTTACTACACGCTCTGGTAAGTAACGTTTTTTCCTACCTTGTGTACACTCACTTCAGCATGCCCCAAATTCTGCAACCAAGTTAAATATTAGAACCTAAGGAAACCAAGAGACATACACTTTAATTAAAGTCACATCCAAACCAGGGTTGCTCGTTTAATTCGTGTACTGAAGCTGTTACTTGCCTACAAATCCTTCGTCGAAATTCGCCGAGAAGTCGCAAACTAAAGAATTCGCGACATCTTTAAACAAGTTACAAAATTGGCAATATATAACTCAGGCTTTGCTTTGGACTTTTAACAGGATTATTTCTTTTATGTCCTTTAAAAAAGGTAAATTTATCACTGTTCTTAATTAAGCACCATGCCCAGGTAAACTCGTAACTTCGACGGGGTGTCAGTTTTATTTTCTCGCCTTTTTACCCTCTGAGAAAGCCTCGGATATCTTAGACACGTGGCTGGATGGGGTGCACAGGAGGTCTGGATCAACTGGAAAATCTCTAACTGTTCCCGAGAATCGAAACCCCGACCTCCATGATAACTGCCAGTCTCTCTTTCATGGTCTTCTTACTTGCTCTTTTCCTGTTTCTTATTAACCTTATTTCCCACTATATTTTTGTTATTGCTAGTGGGGTGGGACTAAGTCCCTTGTACTGCGGCCACTTCTGGCCTATTGTACCAGTCCCAGATGATAGGTGAGGGTGATTGTGGAGCAATTGGTGGAATGAAGATTGGCAGGGGAAACCGAAGTACTCGGAGAAAACCTGCCCCAGCGCCACTTTTTCCACCACAAATCCCACTTGACCAGACCCGGGATTGAACCCTGGCCGCCGCGATGGGAAGCCAGCGACTAACAGCTTGAGCTATGGCGCGGCCTTTCCCACTATCTTGCCTTCAACTATATTCTTCTTTGTTCATCTTCATATTAGCTTCTACATCCTGCATCTTCTTTTCTATCCTCTCCCTCATTTCTCTTCCTTCACTTCCTACGCCTATGCCAGCTTTTCCTCAGCATCATTACGTGTCTTCTTCGCCCACTGATACGCGCAGGTCCTGCAAGGGCAGGTTTCTTTGCTTCTTATACTGCAGAAGGTAAAGTTGTCCCTATGCTTAACTAATTAAGCACTACGCCATGAAGGCGTCTAAGGAAGTAACGGTTTAGCTCCACCTTTCTTGACCTCGACACTAAATGGAGGTGAGTGGACAGTTTCGTGTCCCGGCCACTTTACCTCGAGGGAATGAACCCCCGGTACCAATTCGATACGAGGCTGGGTGGGCCCCAGAGCCAATCTGGGCTACATGGAGAAGAGAAAATTCTTGACCCTACCGGGACTCGAACTCCGAGTCCTCCGTTGTGCAGCCCGCATCCAGTCACTGTAATGACTGAGCTATCTCGGCTCCTATTCTACACTGTAACCCTTTTTTTAGATTAATTAATTTTGAACTGTGTAATGTAATGTTTTTCGTAACTGTGTTACGAGAATATTGTTGTTGCTCCTGGTTTCAGGGAGCCGGCCGAAACACAAACACAAGACAATGTTTGAAGGGAACAACTGATTCTAAATGACACAAACAGATGAGGGGGGGGGGGTACAGAAACCACAAAACTGAGGTCTGCAACACATATTTAACAAGTGCGTGAAGCTTCAGATGAAAGGACACCGCGTTTGGGCACGAAATTTCGAGGTAAATAAAGTACGGCATGAAACTGGCATGATGCTGACAGCAAACGAATTAAGTGAGCAATGTAATGAAAGGAATAAATTACTAAATACAATAATTATTTAATGGTACATCAAAATTACTACATATAAAGTGTTATTTCAACAGTAAATATGTGTATATATCAATACAATACATATCGGAATTTTTAAGATACAATGGTACATATTAAAATGTTCTATCGGGAAATATGGGACGGTAGTAATATAAATACTGATGTAAATATAATGAGGCGTCACATAAAAATATATTTCAGAAGCAGGCGTCCTGACCCAATGGATTTATCTCTAGTTTCTCAACAGAATAAACTGGAGACATGTAGGGGTAATTAAAAACATTACCACTTACTTACACGACCGTGATTTAAGTGCCTAAACATGAAATACATTAACACTTTAAACCTGAAGTCCATCTGCGTCACAATATTATAAATGCAGTTTCTACCTCACAGAAAACATACTGTTATCTCCATCACAAAGACGAAAATGAATTAATACTTTTTGTGAAATACTTGTGATGATCATAAGAAAAGCATAAATGCAGTTTGTGGGGAAAAAATATAACGGACTTTAAAGAAACTAATGCAAATAGTAATTATTTTTATTTATAACTAGCTGTACCCGGCCACGCGTTGCTGTGGCTCAGTCTAGCGGAATATTTCAATTCAAACGCAGATCAATCGACACAGCTCAATCCCACCTCCAATTGCACTGAAAAATAAGGAAAACAGTTAAGAAAACGAAATGAAAAAACAATGAAAAATAAACTATACTCACGAAATGAACGCTATGGTAAACGACACAGCCCAATTCCAGCGCAATGTCACACGAAATAATTAAATCAAAATGAAAATAAATCGAAACTGTTTATATTCGGCCGTAGCTATCCCAAGACTGACTCCTTCGGCGGTTACTTCCAGACTCTCTTCTGTATCCCTCGGCATCTGCCCCGAGACTGACTGCTTCTTGTCCAAGCTGGGCTATTTATACCTCGGCGGATGCTATACAATGAGCCTTCTGTTGTCTATCACCGGGGAAACGCTTGGTTTCATCCGTTGTTACGCAACGGAACCTCTTATCCTCTCATCTCCGGGGAAACGCGTTTGTTGTTTCGGCAATCCCTATGCAACGGCCAACTGTTATTGCGTTTCCATGGAAGTATACTTTCCGGTTTCACCCGTTGTTACGCAACGGAACCTCTTATCCTTTAATCTCCGGGGAAACGCGTTTGTTGTTTAGGCAATCCCTACGCAACTGTTATTGCGTTTCCATGGAAGTGTACTTTCCGCATTCACGCGTGGCCGGGTACAGCTAGTAGGTATATAAAAACACGCGCGCATTCGAATGCAACGTTGTGTCAAAATTTCGAAGCAATCGGTGAAGAACTTTCGGAGATCTTCGAGGGGTAACAAACCAACATTTACGTTTTTATTTATATAGATATCAATACAGAATTGGATTTGAAGTTTTGATTGTGATGACTATGAAGTGTGTAGTGTTCTGGAATATAAAACCGTGTACTTCGGAGGGAGATCAATTATCCGTCTGCTTCTATTAATTTCTTGCTTGGTTTACCCTTCGACCCTGAAGATGGTAGCGATATTTCTCCGAAACGTCGGTCGCTGTTGGAACTACACATCAATAAAACCCACGGTCACGAACTCTCAGTTAATGACTAGTTTTTGTTGCAAGCAACAAGTCTGTAACTAACGCGACCAAAGACAGAATTACACAAATTACATTTTGTATTATCCCCACAGAAGAAAAGAGCAAATATTCTAATATTAAAAATAATGTGACGAGCTATCTAACGTCCATCGCCGTGCAACGGCTACAATTGAAATTGTGGATGTCCCACAGCGACGAATGGCTGTTGAGTAACAACGGATGAGATGAAACTCGTTACTCGTGTATAAAGAGCGTTCCCGAAGCAACGGATTGCCGAACACGTGAGACTGAACCTTGGCGAGGGGTGTCCTCTACTGAGTCCACAGAACACCCACATAAGCCGAGAACCACAGAGCTAATTAGCCTTCATACAGCACAGATGGAGCCTAGTCGAGACGTCGCAGAAGTCACGTGATACCACAAGCGATAATAATTGTATGGTGCGTAAGTGTGAGTGTCCAATAAAGAGTCGCTAAATCCGAGACCCACGTGAAGTTATTTGCTGCGTGACACACCCAACACGTGACAACTGGTGTCAGAAGTGGGATCAATTTGGATTCTGAGGCGTATTTGGAAGAGTTGTTGGTCTAACACCACACGAGCTGAAATGGAGTCACACCAGTTAGTGGAACTCCTGGTGAAGGGGACCGGCCCCAAAGAGTTGCTGGTCCGTTGGAAAGCCCTTAGAGAAGAGATGGCAGCCTTGCGGAAAGAGAGGGATGCCGATACGAAAGCCTGGGAAGAAAGAGTTGACGCCGTACGAAACGGAAGGATAACCGTCGGGCCAGAAGAGATGAGAGGAGATTGCCGCCACGCGAGACAAAATATGGGCCGCCAGGCGAGAAATGAGGGACGCCAACCACAAGAAGTTAGTGGGCGAAAATGACATAAAGACGACAGCCTGCCAAGAAGCGATGGAGGCAGATGCAGAGAAGATTGAGCTCCATTCAGAAATGGTGCAGTCCGTAGTGGAGCATCAAGAAGTACCCGTACAAGACGCTACAGTGATGCCGGTCAAAGAATCCGAAATAGAGACGATGGCCTGCCAAGAGATGGAGGCGCGTCGGGAAGAGAGAAGGCCGACCTCAGTGGACAGGAAACCTGAGGCGGCAGAGCAACAAGAAGTCCCCGTTGAAAACGTCGTACTGAAACCGGTCAAAGGACGGAAGAAGGGGCATAGGGGGCAAGAAACAAACTGTTGGGCGATGCGAGGAGCCAAAGGAACTGACCCGAGTGTTTCGTGGATCACGGAGGAAGTTGGCTGCCGCCTGCAGGAAGGTATCCCGCCGTGCAACAGTGGCACGACGTAGGAGAGATGCCTTCAGGAAAGAACGGACCCAAATTCAGGTTGGGTGCCAGAAGAAATATGTCACCTCTCCCGGCAGGATGTTCCTCCATGCAGGAGTGGCACGACGCAGGGGACACACCATCGGGAAACCTAGTGCGTGTGCAACGGTGAACTGTAAATTGTGTAAATCAGCGATAGCGCTCTATTAATTGTAATTAGGAGAGAAAGTATAATCGAAATGCTGACAAATCCAATCATCGGAACTAGAACCCGTTAGTTTAGTCACGTGTACCGCCCGACACGTGACTTTATGTTTGGGGAAAAATCGCTGTTTATTGTGAGAACCACATGAAACACACAAATACACTGTGTGGGTAGAATGCAGACGTTTTAGTGTCTTAAATCTTGTGGTCCGTATGATAACCACTGGGCTTTAAAGGGTTAATCGCACGAGGCTTTCGTGTTATTTTTCTTACAAAATTGCAGTACTAAATTTTGGAAGAAAAACAACGGGAAATTTATGCAGCGATACGAGTATGCTGTTATAAAACTAGGAATCATAAAAAGATATATTTGTCCTGCTGATGACGTCCTTTCGTTTTGGATTACAAAAATGGTTTCTGAAGAGAAAAACTTTATGAATACGACGGAAGCATTTTCTTCTACGCAAGAGAGTTTCATAACAAAAGCTCAGAAGACTTGTTCGTCTGTGTAACTGATGGGACATCGCAAACACAATGCCTCGATATATCAATCGATATTCAACTGTAGTAAATTTTTATCAAATATATTACCCTGTCAAAATAACGCATCTCAATCTGGTGCACAGAAAAATGTGTTCCTGTGTCATGCACAATATATTATATAACCGAATTATTTCTAGCAAACAGTATATATACAAATTCAATCCGTACCTCACAGGAAACACATTACGTCTCCGCTACAAAGCCCAACCGGTTAATGCTGTTTAGGGAAACAGTCGCTGTTTACTGTGAGAATCATACGGAACACACAGATACACTCTGTGGGCAGAATGCAGAGTTTTAGTCTGTTAACGTGGGTGGTACATGTAGCAACTACTGGGCTTTAAAAGATTAATAATTTAAGAATCAATGCCTCAGTAGTATCATAAATCCATCGCATAAGTAAACTGCATCTGTTAGGGTGTAATTAATTTACTCTGACGTCCACTCGCCATTGTTCTACAGCCGGCATTATGGCTATTTTCCTCGAAACAGGAGCATGCCCACAAGCCGTCAAACTATGTCAGTGGGTCTATATATTTCCTATAATTCTATAGAGTGAGGATATTCTGCGTAATTTGAATAATTTATGTAAACTGTGTCGAAAATTGTTAATATATCACGTTCTGACCTTGATAGGTCTGCTTCAGAAACAGAAGATTTCTGATTAGTAACTTTAGAAAAAATGTCTAGCACTTGCGATATATTATATCGTGTCAGTGTCATAATCCAAGTCACAGAAGACGCTGCTTCTGCAGAATATATTTATTATGTGATCATCACAAAGGCGGGAGATTATTTAAACAATTATATATAAAAATAAATTAAACGGGTGTTACTTAAAAATTGTCACCGGAAGACAGCCAGGAAAACCCAACCATCGGATTGCTCTGATGTAACAGAAAATCGTCAGGGGGCTCAAGGGTTTTGAAGGCTGTACTTCAAGCATATCGAAATATTACAAAACACGTCCATAATATAACACAGCAAAAATAAAGGGAACCCAATGTAGAAATCTTACGATGTCCTAAGTTTTGGTAAATACTCGCATGTAGCAACGTTGTTGTTTTTTTGGAACGTCCATCTTCAGGGCAGAAATATTTTCTTCTACCCAGACGATGGAAATATCAAACTATATGGTGTCACATCCAAAATGACAGTAGTCTCCATTGTCACTGCCACGAAAGCTTCAGATTTTTTTTTAAATAATACACTTAAAACTATATTTTTGAACATTACATTCCATACAGGCAAGAATATTAGTTACTTCAAAAAATAAAAAAATGCATTAAATTTAAAGCGTCTTCGTTAATTTAAGTTCTAATAGTAAATCACATGAAGAAAGCAGTCTTCTGGGATTTGGCACCGTGTATATGTGGTGTTAACCGACGTTTCGGAGGAATGTATCGCCTCCATCTTCAGGGTAGAAGAAAAAATATAAGAAATCTGCAAGCGAAGAGACCGTGAGAAAGCAGTCTGCTTTTACCGGTTCTCACGGTCTCTTCGCTTGGAGATTTCTTATATTTTTTCTTCTACCCTGAAGATGGAGGCGATACGTTCCTCCGAAACGTCGGTTAACACCACATATACACGGTGCCAAATCCCAGAAGACTGCTTTCTTCATAGTCACCGCCGTGAAAGCCTCAAATATTATACAGTAAATCACATGTTTAGCCGTTTGGAAAAGCTCCTAATCCAAGGATAAAATTGCATAAACAGGCACATAAAAATATGTTGATTTCGACTTTCCCATAGCTGCGACATAAAGAGGTCTAGCTCGTTGGATCTGATGCCAAAATGTCTAGAAGAATTTCGCCAACATTTAGGAGGCACGTAATGTCTCCATCTTTAGGGTTGAAGCGTAAGCCAAGAACCAGCTCTTATTGGTTCCCTCTGGGTTCCACCACGGGCCTTGCATCAACATCAATATTTCCACACTTTGATCTCTTTGTTTGCTTCTCGCTGGGAGATAGAGACTATTTCCATCGATTGGGCCCAACAGAGTAGGTTCCACCTGAAGACGGAGACAGATTCGTCTCCGAAACACTGTGCTTTAAATAAAAACAGTACGACGGATAATGTCCAGAAATATAATACCGTGTTCTGTTTAGGCTTTTGACTTAATATTCAACTCTGATGATCGAGGAAATATATTCATCCGAAACGTCGCTGGACTTCTACCTGACAATGTCGAATTACATCACAGATGACAATGCTGATCGCGTGGAAAGATACATGAACATTGCCAGGGTAACAGACAAAACCACGAAGAATTTTACGACAAATAGGGCCTATCTGCCTTAGTGACTAAAAAAATACATTATGTATTGTACAGTGACTAAATATATCTAATAATGCGACGTAATATCGATTCCATAGGAATATATTGGCTGTCCTACATTTAAATCGATAAAATAATATTCATAATTTCTGACAAACAACATTTTTTGTGAAATTTATAAAACGAAGTTAAAGCAAAGTTTCTTTAAAGAACATGGCATAATAAATTCCCTCCCTTCTCACATTTTGTCGTGTGCTTTCACTTTGATGACATCACTATGCTCTGAAGTAACATTTCTTTCGCAGTCAGTGGAACCATCACAGCGAAAACTTCAGCTGAAATTCTTCACTTCACTATTTTCGTGAAACACACTGGACGTGTTTCTTAACTCACATCCACGCAGATAACAGGAAAGACATGAGTAACAAAAAAAAAAAAACACTTTTAAATCAATCACAATTTCCGTACATAAATTTCATATTAAGTATCTATATGGTATGAAAATATAAGTAACGTTTGTTTAATAATATGTTAATGTTTTAATAATATATTTGCATAACTTAAATTATACTTCACCTCTTCAAATGCACGCAACTTCTTGTACAATAACGCCACAATCAACAAACGCTTTTCATGGAAAAAGTTTCTGAAGAGAAACGATTTCCTTTAGGAGTTTCTTACAGCTTCTAGATTCACGCTGTAGCCATGGCAACAGTGTATAAATCAGAAAATGCGGTCTTCTCGGTAAGCGAAGTCTTTAATCATTCCTTTTTCTCCAAATCGTCCGTTTCCATAACCCGCTGCAAAAGAAAGAAACGTAGTTTTAGTGTCACAATTCACTTAAAGACATAATATAATACTAGGTAAAAAATCAGTGCCTAAAGATTTGACATCATGTAACATGTAACCTGCTGGCTCCATGTTCATGGCGTCTAACGATTAATATCAGATCACATACAATGAGACAGTAACTTTCATCTTTAGCATCGCGAGAAGCTCTACTCTGTTGCTTCATATGAACCCGAGGCCTGGACAGTGCCAGACAGCAGGGGAGGGGAACGGATCCTGTACTGTCAGAACTGGGGCTCTCCCTGCAGTGAAAATGAATATTAATGACAGGTTTTACTTATTCAACTGTCGCGTTCAATATCAAATTTAACTGTGTCTATTAGCATTAGATTTAATTGTCGTCATTAATACCTGATTCAACTGCCGTCGCTAATATCAGGTTTCACTACCGCCGTTAATATCAGGTTTATCTCCCGCCGCTAATATCAGGTTTCACTGCCGCCGCTAATATCAGGTTTAACTGCCGCCGCTAATATCAGGTTTCACTGCTGCCGCTAATATCAGGTTTCACTACCGCCGTTAATATCAGGTTTAACTGCCTCCTCTAATATCAGGTCTAACTATCGCCGCTAATGTCAGGTTTAACTGCCGCCTCTAATATCAGGTTTAACTGCCGCCACTAATATTAGGTTTAACTGCCGCCGCTAATATCAGGTCTAACTATCGCCGCTAATGTCAGGTTTAACTGCCGCCGCTAATATCAGGTTTAACTGCCGCCACTAATATTAGGTTTAACTGCCGCCTCTAATATCAGGTTTAACTACCGCCTCTAATATCAGGTTTATCTCCCGCCGCTAATATCAGGTTTATCTCCCGCCGCTAATATCAGGTTTATTTCCCGCCGCTAATATCAGGTTTAACTGCCGCCGCTAATATCAG